AAGAATAAGATGCAAGCTGATGCTCAAAGAAATCGTGAGAAAAAAGAATTAGAGGATCGTATCTCAGTTCGAAGATCATTATTAGAGCAGAAGGTGCTGTGCATAGTTATTATAATATATACAATTGAGATTTTCAAAATCAAAAGTTACCATTGTTTATAAATTTAAAACAGAACTTTTAAAGAAGTTAAATAACAAATAATAGGGAGAAAGTTTATTTTTATTTAGCAATTACTAATTAATTTTGATGTTTTTAATGCAGTTTGAACTAATGCACTATTTAAGAAAAATGGTTCTATTTTATATTAAATGTTATATTATTGTGCTAAACAGGACTAAAATAGATTGGCACATGTTCTTGTCCATTCTAGCGCAACACAACCTATATTGGTATGTGAATATAAAATGATACTATCATAGTATACCTAACTCTAATGTAGTTCAGTCTTAAATTCATTTCATAAAAACAAAACAAAAAATGATAATTTAAGTTAATTTTCTTATAATTTAATGATGTTATATGAATACCATATGAGAAACCAAGAACTGATTGATAGACTGGGTCTGWAAAAGAATGCACGTATTAGTAATAGTAGTAATGATGCTTTATTAATGTTTTATCTATTTTTATTTTATGGAATTCCAGATGGAAATGGAAACAAAACAATTCCTGCAAGAACGTGGGGAACGTGTTCGTCTTCTCCGTGAAAAACAAGAAAGAGAACTAGAACAGTTTGATGAAGAATCCGCCCGTTTAGGTTTTAGGTTAGTATTTATTTGTATTGTTTAATTAATTATTATTAATTTTGTAATGGAATTATTTTAGTGCCTTGGCGATTGCTGAAGCATCTGGTGTTGAACAGGATAGTTTRTCAGGCAGTGTGCTTAGTCTAGCGCGTAGCAACAGTACTAACTCATTTCATGATGGAAATCTATAGCCCCACATGTTTCTATGTAAATAATTTTACTATCTACCCTTTCTTACAGCTTTTTAATATTTACACATATCAAACAGTAGACAAATTTCTCATTTAAATTTGATTCTACTTAAATATTTTTATCATATTCAGTATTAGAAAGCTTAATTAACGGATTTAAATTAACATATTTTCTTGAAAACAAATTAATAATAAATAATAGCATTGTATAATACCTTAACATTTTAATTGTATAATAATTATAATTACCTGCTGTAATCCCATGATATATTTTGTAGACATTGTTTCTTTTTGTAATTAAATAACGAAATATGTGAACAAAATTATTTACTTTATATATAACTATATATATTATTATTATTATTATTGTAACATTTTTATTATGTACATATATCTATTTTAGTAAGTTGAAAATATTGTATGTGTTGAATGTATTTGATTTTTTTTGTTCTTGTGGATAATTTAATTTTTAAATTGAAAGTTTACATTGCTTTTAATTTTTAAAGAACACAATAAATTATACAATGATTCTGATGATCTGCTTTTTTTTATTGTTCAAAGATAAACCAGCTTATAGACTATAAATCTAAGTTGCTTTCAGTTTTTTACAAGATTGATTATAATACCAACATAAAATAAATAATTGGAATAATATTATAACATAATTGAAGGAATTAAAAAAAAAGTTTAATAATTGTAATAGTTTGGTGTTTTTATTACAAATACATAATTTATTTCTTACATTTTTTATTGGATTCATTAGGATTCCTTTTCATCCATTGTTTTTGCACTGAACCTTTGAAACCAAGCATAGCAGATTTGGAATAAACATCCTTTATAGCGAAAGGAGACGATTTAGCTATATAATCTGGGTCCAAAGCATTGGTTTTAGATTTAGCCAACCTAGATGGTCGTTGATGTGGCATTGGTTGATCTTCTACCAGTCTTGGATTTACTGCGTGTTTACCACCTTGTGGTTTAGGTAATGAGAACTTCTTACCTTTAAGATTTAATGGTCTTTTTTCGTTAATGTACACACATTGTTTTCCATTTTCATCCAAATACACTGCTACTCGTTTTAAGCTTTTGTTACCACATTTGGGGCAAAACAATCTTGTCATATTGGAAGTCAACRTAAAACATCCATAACAGCGTCTAATGTAAGTTCGAACTTCTTTAATCACACGGCCATCTAAAGCAATAATAGAGAGGCCTATTTGTTTGAGCACATTTTGTACAGCATAATCAGTGGTAATGCAACCAACTTTGGTTTCTTGTTCAGTAAGATTGTCTCCATTATTTTTATTTATATCTTTTAAATTATCTTCTGTAATCCACCCATCATCGATATCCAAATCTGACATATCATTACTCAAACGATCTGGATCATAAAATCCAACAATATTTTCATTAACTTTCGGCTTTTCAAACACAACTGATTTAGAAATTGGTTCAGTTCTTAAATTGTCTATACCATAATTTTCCTTGTGTATTTGATAAGCCAAAGCTATTACTTTAATATCAGTAACAGATAGATTCGGATAGTCACCAGTTTTTTTTGAAAAATCCACAACAAACTGAATGTGTTCGGGGAACACGGTTTTAATGTCGAGAGTGTAAGGCAATACTGATAGATCTGTTTTTTGACGTTTATTTGTCACTTCGTTCACCACTTCTTGAATAGTGTAGATGTTCAAACCGAAGTCTTGGAGTGGTGCTTTGTCGATGAAACCGGCAGTATCCACGACCAAATGATCAATTTTATTCATTTTACTCGATTCTTAATTTCATTACAAGACACGTGAGAACTGAACTGAGAAAGTGAGAAGCATTAGGCAACAAAGAGCGACTCGTAGACAAATAAGATAAGCAATGAATAAATACTAAAATGTGATAACCATGAACCAACCAAAAGTAAGTGATTACTGAATAACTGATAAGCGTTTGTTTGATAAGAACTTTGTATGTTCGGTTACTTTCCATTATTATGTTATTATTACTATGTTACTTTATTGTTCTGTGTTTCCAGTCTCCATCAAGCACAGATATATTATATAATAAACTAGATTGCTAACTATTGATAAGACGTGAATCAAGAKGCCAGAAGTATTATCAATCATTATCACTTTATGATATCCGGAACGCATATTAACATTCCGCACATCAAAGAAAACCCATAGGGAAATACGGCCATTATACTACTTAAAATAGATTATTTGTAAAATGTTTAATAATCATAATAATTAAATATACATTACATTTGTATTTTAGTAATTCTTTAAACAACAATATATTAAACATTTGTATAATTTGTTGAAAGAGC